TATAGAGTAGCTCAACCATATTTCAATAATTAAACTGCAGGATATTTTTGCATAACACTAAATATTCATAATTTCAAAAAGTCTCATTGATATGCAACATTATTTGTGCATAAAGAAGAGAAAATCACATGAAATTACGGGTGACGCACCCAATATAATGATATTTATTCTTCGTTACTGACTGTATAGAAGTTTCATTACTCGGTTGTATGATGACATTTTGTTCAAGTTGATACATGTATTTCTCGTTATATTTTCAGATAAGGAAAAGAAGTCTAAAAAGTGTAATAGCGAAATAATCTTAAGTGAGTGGTTTTTTCCTAATCTGTTATTTTATTTGTTAGCCATTTTTTGTTTTCATCTGAGATCGTTTACTTATGTTGCTTCATTTGTTGTGTGGAGTAAAAAAAAATAATAAAAAGGAAGAAAAAAGGAAATGTGAACAGTCTTCTTCACGGTTCCCTGCGCCATTTTAAAAGGTAGCCATGCCTTTGCATCGAAGTGAGACAGCCGTTGAGCGTGCAACGATAGAAACGTTTTTTCACACCAACAGACAATTATTCACAGGTATTATCTATTATTGCGGTTGTCTCGCTTCGATGACAAGAGCTGGCTATCTCTCAAGATGACGCAGAGAAACGTGAAAGAGACTATTGGACATAACACAAAAATACAGTAGTACGTTTTTTTTGTTTCACGGATGTAGTGCACAACAAAACCCACAAAACCCATGAAACAAAGTGTATGATAGTCAACGTATACCTAAACTGTGATACAACGAAAAGATARAAGAAAAAAAGACTAACGAGRTCCAGTACGTTTCATTACGTRCTTGTATTACGTTTCWTTACGTACTTGTATTACGTTTCATTACGTACTTGTATGAATTCACACGCCTACAAATCCATGACTCCCTCCAATTAATGTATAGTTTTTTAACTTTACTTTTAGTTTCAGATCAACTGGATGGAAGTTTCTTAGACATTGAATATAAAGAAGGCAAATTGAAGATTTCAATACATATACATATTATAAAATGAAGAGTATTAAAGCCAAACGGGAAATTTCAAATGAAAAAAAAAAAGAACAGCAAGATAGTTTTATTAAACTTTACCAGAATTATAGATATTATTTTGAGCTATTAATTAACATGTATTTGATTTTAATGTAGAATCAATAAACGTCAATAATTAATGATTTGTATTGTATCCACTGATGACTCAATCAAAAAGGTTCAAAGTCCACGAGGATCTAAGAACCTCTGCGAATGTTTCTTTTGTTTTACAAATGATTTTTACAAATGATCTCTTGTTGAAAAGTGCTTTCTTATTGGTTCAAAACATCAAAGATGGACAGTTTTCGTATTTGAGAATCGCAGAGAGATTCTTATGTTCACATGGACGGGGCTTTCATATATCAAACACATACGAAATCACATTCTTCAACGAGTCGAAAGTCAACGGTTTTTAATCACACCAAACACTTAAATCGTTAAATAAAAAGATAAAGTTGTTCCATTAGGGAATTATATATACAAGATTATGTATTCAGCTTAAGAAACATTGACTAGTTAAGATAGGTTATTTATAATTAATATCGAAATGCATTTTCGTCGGGAAGACTCTCACGTTCAACTTTATTTCACATTTTAAAACTGGCATCCTTACGAGCTTTGTCTGTCTGTTTTGAAAGTAAAAATACCTGGTATATAACATAGGTGAAAACTTTTCTATGGTCAAAGAATTGTGAATTGTGTGATTGGCGGTCTTAAAACCGACGGATGGAAACGACTGCGGAAATTTAAAAGTTATTTGAATCCATATCATATGGCCGATTTTCTGAAAATGCGAAATCTTGTACAAAAAAGACAGTTTTTTTATGATCCATGGTGAAATCTGAGCCATGCACGACCTCACTGCATACCGTTCGGCAACGGTCCTTTCAGAGAACTATTACTTCATAACTACCACACTTATTTTTCATAGCTAGCTCAAGCATTGTGTTTCAATGAAACTATTATATGTCATTTCATTTTAAAATCTTGTAATTGCAGTGAACTAGCTCCCAGTTCTCCCTCGGTCACCACGACTTCATTATTGACAACATATGCTCTGTGCTTGGTGAAATTAAGGCTTAAGTTGCTTGTCGAGGTGAGTTCTCGAATAGATGTCATTCTGCTCATGTTGGACGAGCTGGTGGATTGGTTTCGCCGACTTTTCTCTCGTCTACCGCAGAAWATRGCGAAAAATCCTGYCCTAAAATCACGCATGCGCAGAATATAGATAAAGAAATTTATCGCCGAGTTGACGTACTGGAGAAACTTCATGGCGAAAAAATAATTAAAATGAGGCAGTGAAACCTTACCAAAAATCACAGAAATGAAATACAATTGGTAGGGAAGCCATGTTGACAATGATGCGAGCGTGACGATGAAGAGCGTGAGTGACAGCTTTTTGTCACGTAATGTGCGATTCTGATTTTGCGCACTKGGGTTAGCGTGACGACTCTTCATCCAAATACCGAGATACGAGACAATCATGATCGTGAGTGACAAGCAGAGAAAAGAAACACGAGCAATCTGGTAATGATCTMGTTTTTCGCCTRTTCCTGGAAAATCTAACCCGATGTATGTSAAAGCGAGTACTGCRGCRGAAAGCCACGGTGCAAGACACATGCAGAGAAGATTCTTAAAACGCAGCATCCTGTGTTTAAAAGGAAACGCGATAGCATAAAATCGCTCGACTGAAATAACAGTCAGACCGAGTAGAGACGCTGTACCTGTAAATGTATCGACAGTGTTTAAGGCGTAAACAAAAGATAGCGATTGTGTGAACGGCTCGAGGGAGAAAAAATACGCCACCATGAAAATAACGATGGATACTGTTAAATCAGCAAGAGAAAGATTGATAATCATGTAGTTTGAGCGCCTGCGAAGAGACTGGGTCTTAGCGAAGGTGATGATGGAGGCCAGGTTGCCCAGCAATGTGATGATACCAAATATGGCGAGAGATGTGACCTGCGCAATGACTGTTGCTTGACTTCGATAAAAATACAAAGGGAGGTTTCGCTTTGTATTTGAGGTGGTGAAGTTGGTTGAATTGCTGATATTCATTTCTGAAATACAGAATATATAAAATTTTAGAAACGAATTTTGATGATATCCTTTAAAGCTACAAGCTCACAAAACTGAAATAATTAATGAAAACACAAATGCATGCCTCGCAACCGATAAAAACTGAAAACGCCTCTTTTTCGACCAGACATCAGGGTGCGACCGTTCCTCTGCAGTAACAGCTTTAGCTGAAGCTATATACCTGTTTCGATATTTTCGTGTCAGGATCAGATCTGTTCCTTGGTAGCAGCTGTTGTGCCAAACGATAGGCTTGATATTTTGGCTTGGACTATAGACTGAATGGAAAAAAATTGATTAAAATAAGAATCATTAAATACGTAGCTTGGGGTAATTATAAGACTTCTAAGAAGCTCAATGGTCTTATCAGTTTTAGTTTCAATATTTTTCAATCTTTGTAATGATTGAGATTGTCGCTTTCTTTTTGAGGACAGGAACGTAAAGTTCCGTTTCTTCTAATTGAAGAAATGTCAACGATTACATCTACATCTCGATTTGAGAAAAAAAAAACGCGGTTTCCCATTTCACTTCAGTGAATAATGGATGGAATTTCTCTGTTTTATTTTTCAAAAAAAAGGACGAAAGTAAGAAGGAAATAAAGGTGGGATTCTGAAAGGGGATAAAAGAGGAAAAAGTAAAGTTTGTAATCTTCAAATTACCTCGCGACTTAAAGACCGATAAATGAAGACTTCAGTTGAATCTGATACAACTTGGGGAAATAGAAATCTGGATAAAAGAAGCTGGGTTACAAAAAACAAAACACAATTGAAGGTTCAACAATATTCATGATTGAATTAAGGGTAAATATTTGGTAATATAAAGACGTGTCACTTGATTTGTTTGTATAGGAAGTTGAAAGGCTGGTATAGAAAATGAACACATGATTTCCATATATACCTTTCAAAAATTTGTATAAAAGTTCAACTTGTTTTTTTTTCAATTACCCTCTAAATGGCACTAATTTTTCAAATCGGTAGAATTCATCAGCACTGTCTACTTTATAACAAACCATCTAATATATATCTAAAATTGCAGCTTCTCATCCATAAACTAATAGATCCAAACGATGTTATAATGGAAAAATTCTTGGGTTCCCAAAATGGCCACCCATAACGACTTCACCACGCAAATACACACATTTTTGCTTCATTTTATCAGTTCTCAGACATCGTAATGGATAAAAAATGCATTGATATCTTACCTAAGCTATCAAAGATTTTACAATTGGACTTAAATCCATTATACCTCAGATATGTGGACGTTAAATCTTTCGCCTTGCTTTCCGCGCAGTTCTCGTATTCTTCTTCACGTTAACTTTGAAGTCTTATGGTTGTGGCGCCCGAAAAGAAATGCAAAGCTCTCACTTCAGCATTGAAAATAAAAACATTATTTTTAAAAACAGATGCACCTGTGTCAATCTCACAAATATCTAATAAACTTAGGATACTGTAGATTCGGCATTGTTAAGCCTTCTTTGTTCATGTTTTTCAGCTCAAAAAAAGCTTCTTTCAGGCTCAGTTTCAATTGTAACGAAGTGGGCACATTATTACTAAAGCTGCTTTGTTATCAGGTATTCCGATTGGGTTTTCGCACTTGGAAATCCATGTACTATTTGTGGGTTGCATTGGCTAAATGAATCTAATAAACTTAAGTCAAGAAATGTTTGGAATCAAATGTTACGCAATGCAAACATATATCTAAAAGATTGAAGCGTTTTGAAGATGATAATGAAAAGGCATCAAGCTGAAGAATAAGTCTTAATTATAAGTTGTCAGTGATGTATCAATGAAGAGAAGACGGAATATTTTTCGCTACATTTTTGTCTGCGAAAATGAATTATGTCGTTCTATGATTTATTTATCATACAAAAATAATTGCCTTTCTACAGGTGTGTATGACAATAACTGTTTAACTGCATGAGACCTGTGAAACCTAAATAAACAAAGAATACCAACGAACAATGAAAAATAATCAAAAAGAAACGAGAACGCAAACAAAATAGCAAAACAAACGCAGAATAACGCAGCCTAGTACCCAGGGGTGTCTTTCTGCCACGAGCGGGTCCTGGTACGAATCACTGAGACATTCTACATTCTCGTGCCTAGTCCCTACTCTCGCGGTCTATTTTGGTCCAACCAATCTCGTACCCAGAGCCCGCACTTTTGCCATCCAGTCAATCTCGTACCCAGATCCCACACTTTTGCCATCCGGAGTCAGCATACCGCTGACATTAGCCGTGAAGACTCTGGGCTCGAGATTGCCATCCAGTGGATATCAATGCGCCTACATACCGCTGACATTAGCTGTGAAGACTCTGGGCTCGAGGCACTGTTTGGTCGGAAGATGAAAAGGGTTTGTGCATGAGAATGACGTCATTTAAGACCAAAAAATCCACAATATTAACGGCATATTTTTTACATATTTTTAACATTTAACTGAAAAAAGTGTCTTTTTCTATTAAATACAAGATTTCTTCTGGTTAGTTTAATTAAAACAACCTTTTATATTCAAGATACACATAACATTAGATTGGACATTTATTGGACCAATGAATTCACCGATCCCCCTTCATAGACATTCGTTAAAACTTATAATACCATAGCTCATTATAAAGCGAGAATAGAGCTYTCAACTCAGKGTTTGGGCTCCCTGTGTATTCTCGGAGCCAAAAGCTGGCGACTAGACTAAGGAGAATTACACAGGAAGTCCAAAATTTGATAGAAGGTGTTGCCCATTCACTTTATAAGTGAGCTTGGTATAAAACTCTTTAAGTATAAATTGGTTACAAAAATCTTTTTCCTAGTACTTGCTCTTACATTTGAAATAGTTTTTACTTGTTTCGTCAAATTACCAAATCGTTTCAATGTGAGTTGAACGCTGACACCAAATACCGTGGTATCAGCTTTAAGACATTGACTGTAATGACGTCATGGGCATTAATACGTAAATTAGAACTGCCCTTATTTGGGCATTTTATGGAATAACAAAAAGAATAGAATCTACCATATGTACTAATAAAAAGCGATTGCAATTTTACATCATATAAAAGTACAAAGCTTGGCACTAGACTTCATAAAATGAATAGCGACAAGCAACCAAATCACTAAGAAATTTTAGTCTGAAATTAAAATCTTGTCTTAAACTTAACGACGAGAATTGATGTGAATGAATGTGAACAAGGGTTTTAACATAACCCACTTAATTGAGTCTGCATTAACCATCAGGCAGCGGATACACCAGAGTCTGAATTACAACTGGAAGTAGACATACAAAAGTCTGCAGTACAAGTGAACAGCGGATATATCCGAGCCTTCTTTACAAATGGACAGCGGATACACTAGTGCTGTAATAAAAAAAAACGGTCCAAGTGTAGTTGGCAACCAACGATATAAAACACAGCTCTGGACTTCTCCAGTTACCGTTCAGTATTCGTATAATGTCCTTTGAAATAAAAAGTACAGACGCAGGCATATTGATAAAACTAAAACGCCATTGTAGACTACGAATGAGTGATAAATAAACCTCCAAAGGAGATGACCACTTCCAAAATCCTGTACGATGAATACACTTCAAAAAATAAGCCACGACTTCCCAGAAAAAAACCTTCGTCGCAGCCTAACTACGGTGGCCAGAATATATATAGACGACCGTGAGATTCACTCCCCCTGACCCCTTAATGCTTGCCTATAAACCTGGTTCTCTTCCGGGGGGGTAAACTGGCATTGAGCCTCGATCAAAATACATATTGGATGAAAGCTGTGGATTGTATAACGATCCAGTGTGTTGTATCGTCGAGGGGTACTGATACCGCTGACCGCCATACATTGCAGGTGGTTGGTATTTGGTCTGGTAGTAGATACCGCTGTACGGTCCCATCTGTTGTTCGGGGGCTAGGGGATGTCCGGCGTGGTCCGAAGGTACACTGGGAGCAGTTAGACTCTCTACAGAAAACGATTTAGGCATGGAAGCAGGGATTGAACTCATTCCTTGGGTCGCAGCTAGAAAAGGGCTTTTGTTCGTGCCCATCGTGCGAGGTTCTGTCGGCGACTGAAGGGAACTATCTTGATTGTTTTCTCCCATTCCAGGGTAACTCTGTGGTTGAGAAGACGTAGCATTCTGATATCCTTTACTGCCTAAGTCTACAAAACCCCGTCCTTCCCCTCCGGTATCCGATCCACTACTTTCGCTACCGGGTCGTTGYGCTCCAGGAAAAGTACCGGCCGAATAGTTCGACTGTTGAGGATTGGTTGGCGAGAAGGGYGGTTTTGAAGGTTCTCCAGGCGAAGGAGCAGCGCCAGGGAATCTTGGAGTGTGAGGCGTCAGTGGTGTTTGTGGAGATCCWGTACTCGTAGGGGAGGGTACWGCTGCCGGACTATTTCCCATGTGGTGTGGTGGTCTGCTTTCCCCCGATCGTGCCCCTGGGTAGGGCGGTGGCGGGGAACGAACGTTAGCACCCAGTGGATCAGACGAGGGAGATTGACCTCCTGGAGAATGAAGCTGAGGAAGGTTCCTCGGTCTTTGGAAGTATTGCTGTTGTTGGTTATAGCCTTGCTGGAATGGTTGACGGTATCCTTCCTGGACACGACTGTCTTGATATGGTTGTTGTTGGGAYCCCATTCGTTGAGGATACCCATATTGCTGTCCCGACATACCGGGCCTTTGGGTGAACGATCCCGGGGCTGSTTGGTTTTGACCATTTCCATTCACGGCACCTCCAAATAATATTTGACTCAAGTCATCGACGGGCTGACGCTGCTGACGCTCCTTCATGTAAGGCGGCTGCATTTGAAATTGCTGCCATTGACCAGGATTATACCCACCACGACCACCGGATCCCGTATTACCATCAGGGAGCATACCGGGTATTCTTCCATATCCCCGAGACATCATTGCCCCCATGCCGGGCTGCTGATATCCTTGTGAAAAATACGCTTTTTGTTGATCGTAGTTTTTATCGAATGTCCGTCCTTTCTCTAATCGTAAATAAGGAGAGGTAGTYTGCTGTGCACGGTGAAAAGAAACGATGCTCTCGACTCTTCCTTGCTGTACGGCCTCGGCTGCACGGTTAGCTAGGAYAGTAGAGAATACGTACGTTCTATTCATGGGTCCGGGGGGGTCTGCTGGTCTCATGAGTTTGGGCTTCTTTTTTCGTCGTCTTGGACCGTCGGAACTGTCAGAATCTAAACAAGACAAGTATGCATTTAATAAACTACAACAATAACCATTTTATCAAGTATACATATTCATTTCTCATTGAAGAAAACATAAAGACTCATATAATCGCACAGCGCGTTCTAACTCGACATAAGCACATAAGCATAGGAATAAGCACAAATAAAGCAAACACGCTTGTTACTTATTGCTATGCTTATGATTATAACTGTGCTAGTGACAACAGTCCCTTAGGTTTTCATAGTTTTGTTCTCTATTTATAGTGAAAATAACAGCTGTTTGAGAGTGAGAAATATAGGTATAAAATAGATGCAGGAGCTTGTTGTTCACACTTTACAGAAGCATATTCTTCAGCTTGTGATGTCCCGGTTCAAACTCATAATCCTCCAACAGAAGCAGAAGAAAATGAAAAAACGTTTTCATTTTCATCTACTTCTGTCTCTGCTTCTGTTTTCCCTGGTTCACACATACAAAATACACTTCTTCCGCTTCTGCTTATGTCACAGTGTGAACAGACCCTTAGAGGCTGCTAACACAGTGTAAAATAGATCATTAAAAGGTTTTATATGTACCTATTTTTTAAACAAAACTTTTTATTAACAAACAAATTTCCATACAATACAATACACTACTAGAATCCGATACATAAGTGAACTTTAAACTTGCTATTATTAAAAATAGTTTTAAGTAAAAAAGAGGAAGGCACAACAAGCAAATATGCAACAACAAAGTTGTTGGGTTTATATGTACCTATGTCTTCGTCGTCTTCTAGATCAGACCCAATCCCTTCCTCTTCCCACCATTCTTTTTTCTTCTTAGCCTGTTCACGCATGATAACACATTTACGTCTTGTTCTCGGCATCATGTCACCTTGCAGATCCTCAGCGGACAAAAGACTTTCCTGCTGATCCAATTCATCAGAGATTCGATTTTCCAAATCTTCATTTTCCTGTGGCAAAAAAAGTATTTTTAGTTTGAACGGCCACGTATGTCTCTTCCTTGTCTCTTCGTACGGCTGGAGATATGGAGAGTACAAAGGAAGCAAGTGCAGGCCGCGTTTAACAAGAGAGATTAGACAGATAGACATAAAAAAGAACAATTTGGAGCAGACGACGAGAGATAAGACAATAAATATAAAAAGAAAAATCAAAGAAAAAGAAGAGAAACGAGAATAATTAATAAAAAGATGGAAAACGACAAATTCCAGACAAAAACATATGACACAAA